CTTTTGTACAAAGTATTAGATAAATTTCAGTAAGTGTGTTCAATACTTTTTCCCTGTGCCATTCCACATTTATGGTTTGATTTCTTTGTATGTATGGATCACTTGGGTTGTTACCAACATCTGGTGAAAATTTCATGTCATTAGCACCTCTAGTAATATATTTACTGAGAAAAATGGTGACGTGTTCAATACTTATTTTACCCGCTGTATGTCACTTATCCACTAGATGACAATATATTGACAATATATGAACTCAAATAAAGCTGAGGAACGTCAATGATAAGTCTTAAGAGAGTAACATGGCAATATGCGACTCATGTCTGTTGAAGAATGTTCCACGGGTTGACTAGGTTATTTTAATGCTTTAGAATTAGTTTTTGCTAAATTTGTCCATGCGTTAGTGCTTTAGAATTAGGGGACCTATTTCAATCTTTCTATCTTTCTAATTACTTCTCTGTTTTTCTCTCTGTCTCTATTTTCTCTTCACTTAAAAAAAAGTCACTGATGATGAAGAAATAAATAAACTAAATAAACTAATATTTGGTTTCGTTTTCTACTGAAGTGACACAAGAAAAAAAAAATAATTAGAGGACCTAAATATCTATTTAGTGTTTTAGGGCTAGTGGAACAAATTTTTTTGATTAGTGCTGCCCACCACTGCACATTTGCATCTTTATGCTGCCATAAATCATACTAAGTTTTTCATATACTCACCTTTTTCTCGGATTACATCTATCAGGATGTCAATCACTATAAATGTTCCTGTCCTCCCAATCCCTGCACTGAGGAACAGTGAAAATGAAAAATATGAGAGTAAATGGCTTTCCCTGCAGTACTGCAGTATTAGTAGTATTGTATTTTGGATAACAACAAATTAATGTAAATTGTAAATTAATGTGTGCATACCTGCAGTGTACTGTAATTGGCCCAGCATCCAAAATGCTCTCCTGTTTCAGGTTGACCTCCTCCAGGAAGTCCAGAACACCACCTGGGTCAGTGGGAACCCCGTGATCTGGCCAGGTTTTGAAGTGGTACTGCCACACTGTTCGTTCTGTGTTACCCTAATAACAATGTTTAGATGCAAAAGCATCACCAAAAGTTAACCAATGCAAACAAACTTTATGAGCAAATAAAGTGCAGTTTTTCTGATTTTAATTCCTGGTGCAGTTTCTGAAGAATCCTCATGCTACCTTGAATTGATCCAAAACACGCAAACCAAACTGACCTGGCCAACTTTAGACAGTTTCAATTCTCGAAGGGTGTAGTCATGAGCAGTCGTCTCTCTGACATTGCGAACACGCATGGCCCCATACTCCTTCAGAGCAGACATCTCTGGCCAGTACTTCACACACTTACTCTGTTGAGACAATTACATACACTTTGTTCAGGATAGTAAGCAACTAAATTAGGATTTGATAAAGTAGGCAATTTTGTGGCCAAAAAAAAGTCACTGCTTCTGAATAGATCTGTGCAAAACATTCATGAACATTTAGATGTGAAATCACGCGAGACTTCTTGAAACCTCTCGAGAATTCAGATGTCAGAGGACAAACCTCGCGTGACCTCCAGAGAGACTTGAGTTCAAAGTAGATAAACATTTACGACGAGGAAGAAACAACATTGATCATTTGTGAACTATTTTTACCATAGGAAAATCAATTCCAAATGACTTATCGTCCAGCAAATTTTCTGGTGAGTCATGAGAGTTTTTTATGTCTTCTGTGTTTTGGATTCCCATCTATGCTTACCTTGCTTTCTAATTGGCTACATGTCATTCAGCAGGTTGCAAGCTCATTTGTTCTCAGGTGAACACCACACACACTGCGATACTGGGCCACAAAATCAAACACGTTGAATATCCCCGATGTGAGGTTGGAGCCATCCAAACATCCTTACGAGCAGACTAGATCACTCTTAACTAATCAACGACGGCATGAATATCTGCTAAGATTATCTCTAGAGCCATCACAACAATCTGGACGTCCTTAGGATTGTCGGAATGGGAAAATTGGGCCAGAATTTGGCATAATTATCCTGTTATGTGATGCAGCCCTAAGGGAAACTGAGTTCCTTGGCCTTTTCCCATCCATATTTATCTTTTGAATCCCTCTTTGTCTAGCCAATCTGTTATGGGAGACCCTACCAGAGTCAATTTATTTTACTCTGGACAGCATAACGCCTAGGATCATTCAGGCACACAAACCATTCCACCACAATAAGGTGACAATTTAACAGGAGGACCATTTGTGTTATCCTTCTCTTCAATTTATCATCAAATTTTTTCTCCTGCAGCCACGGTCAGAGGCTGGCTACATTCCCCTTGAACGTGAAAGCAGAGCACTTCCTAGTGGGCTAGAATCAGAATCAAAAGTAGATGGATAGAGGTTTAAAACATAGCTTTTTGTTAAGCCACTTCAGTAGAAAACAGAAGTGAATGTTAGTTTAGTTTCTTCATCATCAGTGACAGTGTTTTTTTAAAATAGCTTAAATGACCCATCCATCCATTATCTTCCACCTATTCTGAGTCAGGTCGTGGGGCAGCAGCTTGAGCAGAGAGGCCCAGACCTCTCTTTCCCCAGTCACCTCTTCCAGCTCTTCTGGGAAGATTCCGAAGCGTTCCCAGGCCAGTCAAGAGACATAGTCTCTCCAGTGTGTCCTGGGTCTCCACTGGGATCTCCTCCCAGTCGGATATGTCTGAAACACCTCCCTAGGGAGACATCCAGAAGGCATCTTTACCAGACACCCAAACCACCTTAACCCTTGGGGCACCTTAGGGTACAAAACTTGTAAATTCTGCTAATTTTCTAGTTTTGATTCTAAATATTTCAGACAGTTTAAAGACTATTTTCATTAAAGGAGACCAATTATGGGTCCTAGAAATTTTTATGGTAGGTCTGTGGGCTATCCAGAACATGTTCATTCAATTTAATGCACAAAATAATTCTCAGATAATAAAATTTCCCATTTTCTAGTTCTGCCTGCTCTGATGTCCGTTCAGAAGAGCTGTTTATGTTAATGAGCTCTGTTGGTAACGCCCTCCAAAAATCTGTTGACATTAACTCCGCCCTCCACAGCCAGCGTTTACGTTAGCATGGCTAATAATAGCAGAAGCTCCGTTGTACAACCATGTGAGACCCTGAGTCAGACCCAGAGGCAGAGTCGGTCGCAGCTTCTTTTTTTTCCTCTCCCTCGTCTGCTCTGCCCTCACTCTGCATGCTGTTACCAGAGCAGGAAGCAGCAGCAGTGAAAATACCTCAGAAACTCAAACAAATAGGCTTTAACGAGGCTTTAATAAGCTAAACAATTGAGGTACAAGAGAAAACGTGTTCACAACGAATGAAAATAAATAAATAATTAAATTGTGTCTGTGCCGGTCTCGAACCCTGTTCTCCCGCTCTCTGGTCCAACACTATTGGAGGCTTGTGATGGACTTGCACCTGTGATGGACTTGCGACCTGTCCAGGGTGTACCCCGCCCCTCGCACTGTGACTGCTGGATATGGGCACCAGTGACCCACGCGACCCTGAAAAGGAAGAAGCGTGTACAGAAAATGGATGGATGGATATCACGGTGCTGTTTATAGCCAAGTGCTTGAGTAACCGTGCGGCAAGTATGCTGAAAACCACCCGTGATCTGCTCAGCTTCGTCTCATTCACTTCTCTCCAGGAACTGTTTACAAGTTCTGCCTTTTTCAAAAAGGCAGTTTTATTTCACCATGTTGTCGTACTGCGCAGCGTGCTCGTATTCCTAAACAAAACCAGCTCTCTCCGGGAGGAGATTTGCTGTCAGTCCAAGAGTTAATCCATGGGCAGAATTCTGCTGATGTCAAAATCATAAGCGTGCTGTACTCGCTTCTACCTGAACTACCGGAGAGGAGGTTCTGAGACAGCGTAGCCGTGGAGCACGCTTGGAGAGGCGCATTGGGCCGAGGCCGAGCCGAACCGCGTACAAGAGAGTCCGTGGAGATTGTGTGCTGCGGCTGTCACTGTTAACAGTGAACACTAGAGGGCGCAAATTAACAGCTTTCTTTGAGGCACCGAAATAAAGCACCGAAGTTAGAGATGTGTTTCGGTCTGTGTACTACCGTGGATGTTCGCCCCGGTGCCATAATAGAACCGAGTTTCGGTACCCAACCCTAGATACACACAGACCTTACACTCTTTACCCTAGGGCTCAATTTGGTCCCACCACATATTTTTGATGCACTGTAATCCTGATAGTACTTCTTTCATGATTACCTAATCTAAACCTATTCCTTCAAAACAAGAGAAAAACAGGTTTTAGGTGGGATGACGCCCCCCAATCCACCAAGGGTTTCAGACCTTTATTACATAAGAGTTTTATTGGAGGCCTTTTTCTTGTAAAATGCATGGAGGCAAAAAATCTGAATGGTTCAAAAATGGTTTTGATGTGTTGGTATTGAAATAAAAGAGTGATGTGAATGAAGTTTGGGTATTTTTTTTGTGTGTGCCCCTGTGCGTGTGTTTGTAAAATTCAGGTCACAAAAAGCCAAGATGGGCTCTGTGTATGTTCATATCATTACTATATTTGATGTACTGTAATCCTGACGCAGCACAGAGTTGGTAGAGCTGATGCCTCTCAGCAAGAAGGTTGAAGGTTCAAATCCCGGCCCGGGAACCTTTCTGGGTAGAGTTTGCATGTTCTCTCCGTGCATGCGTGGGTTCTCTCCGGGTTCTCCGGCTTCCTCCCAAAAACCAAAAGCATGACTGTTAGGTTAACTGATAACTCTAAATTGTCCCTAGGTGTGAGTGAGAGACTGAATGGTTGTTTGTCTCTATGTGTCCCTGTGATGGACTTGCGACCTACCCCGCCCCTCGCACTGTGACTGCTGGATATGGACACCAGCAGTGGTGGGCAGCACTAATCCAAAAATTAGCTCCGCAATTTCTAAAGCGCTTATGAAAATATTTAGGTCCGCAACTTCAAAATTTAAATTTGACACTTACTTGCTGGCAAAAACTCATGTATACAACAGAGTCAGACATTTTAGGGTAATGTATGAAATAAATGCCTGGTTTAACTTACCTTCCCTCTTTCCACCTCTTTGGTAGTCATAACGATGACTCGAGTGTCTTCCTGAAAAACCATCCTCCAGAAGTCACTGATTGTGTTCTGCAAGCAGCCCTGAGTGGCTATGTAGTTCTTCTTTGACCTGCTGCTAATGCACTTTAAATCTGTGTCCGGCTGCACACACAGACACACACACATACACACACAGTGAACCATGGATTCAAAACTATTGATAACAGGAATACAGAAAATAACTAGATACAGTCATAGTTAACAGCATATCCGTGAACATGCGTGTTCCCTGCATTTTCATAAAAATAAGTCGATTATTATATGTGCTTTGTTTGTTTCTCTGGTCTGTGATGCAACAGTTAGCATTATGTAATTATATATGTTGATCTACGTGCCATAACGTACAGTTGTGGTCAAAAGTTTACATACACTTGTAAAGAAACATAATGTTATGGCTGTCTTGAGTTTTCAATAAGTTCTACAACTCTTATTTTTCTGTGATAGAGTGATCGGAACACATACATGTTTGTCACAAAAAACAGTCATAAAATTTGGTTCTTTCATAAATTTATTATG